TACCTATGGTTCCACAGACATTAGAGCTGCTCCAGAGAAAAGCAGGTATTTCTGCCCAGCAGACAAAACAGGAACAAGTGAAACTATTCTGTAATATTGAACTGCCTCAAAGGAAAGGTTAATTCTCCTTTGGTGTTCTTCTTTCTCTATAATACAGCCATAAAACAAAACAAAACAGAGCGCTTGCATTTAAGAATTACTTGGAACTGTGATTTCCTGGTAACTCTGCCAGGAAAAGAAAATGCAAACATAATTCTGACAGGTTTAAGAAAATGCAAACGTATTGCCTCATATTTAATGGTGATGTGCTATTACAGATACTACAGTATTTGCAGTATATGCAGTACCATGAACAATTCTTATCTATCGTAACCATGACAGTTTTTTTTATATTACTTAAGACTTTGAACCAACAACCACTTCTGAAAAGGTTATTTTAAATACTAGATCAGTCTGTGCAAGTAGGAACTTGCATACCTGAAGCTGAAATTTATGCACAACTTGTGAACGGTTATTAAAAAACAAATTAAATAAAAAGTGATTAAAAAAGAAGCAGGAAACAAAAAAAATAGGTTTCGTAACGTGTAAAAAGAAGATCGAGTCACATAAAGAAAGCAGAGAATGTCTTGTTTCTATGAAAGCAATTTATTAGAGAGTTTCCCTTACTCTTTCTGTATGGCTTTTATTGGGCACAAGGTTTATTGGTTTTTAGAATTGGAAAATAATGTATTTGTGATGTGGAAGTTGTAAAAGGAAACTAGGGGAAGAACTCGTCTTCCATGGAGAAAAGGTAGAAATAAACGTTGTCAAGTAGACCACAGTATTTTGAATAAAAATGAGTGGGAAGGGAAAAAGAAGGGAGGAAGGAAATTTTCATGGATTCACTTTTAGCTGGGTAAGAAGCAACAGGCTTAAATAGTACACGATATGAAGGTTAGACATCTGGAAAACCTCAAAGAGCAAAAACAGTGAAACAAATAGTTTGTAATGTCCACAAATACAGGACAGTGTTCCAGAACAGGAAAGCAAAGGAATTTTCAGAAATAAGAATGCCCTTTTTTTTTTTTACCATTTGACCCTTTCTGCCTGTTTCGCCTTGATAAGTGTGAGCGGAACAAACAAACAGCCGTGTCTGAAATTAAGTAAGTGAAGTGCATTTGTCCATCTCAGCAGCACAAGAAAGCGGTGCAGTGTGCAAGCATTTATGCACAGATTTCTGCTCGTTATTGCATCAGGATCTAATAGCCTGGAGATTGTAAGAGAGAATGTGAAATCCATTTATTACTTTTTTATTTTAATGTTTCTTTGGAGAGAGGAAAGATAGAAAGGGGGGAGAGAGAATCTCAATACGATGAAGTACAGTCTGTGTGTATTTTCATGCATTGTGATGCTTTAAAACAGCATTTACAGAAGTAACAGCCATGTGGAATAGGAGTAATCATATGGCTTTTAACCGTCTACCTTGGCTATCAGTGAAGTTATAGCTGAGATACCCCAGATCTGAGCTTCCTACCCTGCCCTCGCAGACTATTTTTTAAAAGTAAAAAATCACAGGTGCCATCCTGTGGATGATCCAAAAAATACAACTAAGTGTTGCAATGAAAGGACTAAGGCATAATTAAGAAGCCTAAAGCCAAATAGCCCCATCCTGGAATATAAATATGGCCATCACGTGCAACCCCAGCCCGCAGGCAGGGAGGAGGGGAGCTGCGGTCGCAGCATTTTGAGTCTTCTTTGGCCACAAACTGAAACACCAAAAGTTCCACAGGAACTTAAGGAAAAATTTCTTAACAGTGAGGGTGCCAGAGCCCTGGAACAGGCTGCCCAGAGAGGTTGTGGAGTCTCCTTCTCTGGAGATCTCCAAACCCGCTTGGACGCAGTCCTGTGCCACGTGCTCTAGGTGACCCTGCGTGTGCAGGGGGTTGGACTAGATGATCTCTAGAGGTCCCTTCCAACCTTGAGCATTCTGTGATCTCTTCCTCATGGAGAAGATGATTCCACATCACACTCGAATTCAGCATTCTATGATTCTGTGATCTCTTCCTCATGGGGAAGATGATTCCACATCACACTTGACGCCCCTTTTCCCAGGATGTTAGATACCATTCACACAAGTGCTACCTTGTTGGGGCACAGCTTCTGAGTGAGTAACTGCAAAAGCTTCGTTTCTTATAAAATGAGGTTTGGGAGGTGTTGGGTATAAACATCAGTCTAACTGAAAGCTACCACAAGGTGGGGAACAACCCGCTAGGTGAGCAGTATTTCATTGCAGATGCCTCAGGCAATAGGGAGAAAAGACACATGTAAGGAGAAGTACCCTATTGCTTTAAAAATCTTAGTGTTAAGCATTAATAATGGGGTACAGCATTTTTAAGGAAACCAGTTTATATGTATCTAGGAATAAAGTTCTGTTTTGTTACACCTTTGTAACAGAGTAATTCTACTGAAAATATTTATTCAAAGTTTACACTAGTGTGACTGAAGTAAAATCCAGCTATTTTATTTAAAATGCAACCTGAGTATTAGCTCTGTAGGTAGTGCTACATAACATTAAATATTTAAATTATCTTGAAACTGCACCATTTAAATATCTCAAATCACAGGAAAGGGGCTCTTCAAAAGTTCCATGAATGTTAGGGTTAAACACACAAGATTGTATCATTGTATTGTTAAGCACAGTGAAGAAAAACATAAATAACCACCCAAAGACTGTCCTATGCAAGTATTTTAATTTCAGACCATATGCATTTGACATAATAAACATTTCTGCTATATTCAGAGGTGCTTTTAAAGACAACATCCCTGATCACAGAGTGAAGGAAACATAAACCGTCATCCTCATCATAAAGAGAACTCTTTTCATCTCTAAACCTCTAACATGGACAACTTAAAACATAATCAGAAATGCTACAGCATAAAATCCAACCCTTGTGACCCTGCTTATTTTAATAGCTGTTTATCAAGGCTAACACAGAATTTGTATTTCCATATATGAATAGAGGGGACTGCATAAGAAGTTTGAAATCATCAATGAATAGAAATTAGACTTGTATGATTACCATATGAGACAAACGTACCAGATCAGAGCACAGCATTCAGCAAGTCTATTTAAGTGGCAGATATTATTTAAGTGGCATCAACATCTTTGCCTATGTAACTTTTCAGTCCCCAAGAACAGCTTTGAGTCCTTCAGACCATAAGCTGTACATGAAGGTAAAACCTTCCAGCCTTGCGGGTTTGTGAGAAAAACCTCCTCTCATGAGCCCAAAACAAGTGACCAGAAGCATGTGCTGCTGCTCTGCAGTTGCTGGTAATTGATGCCGCCTCATTAGTGCCATCACACCTCTGACACGGCCAATTTATTTGATTGTTGAGCATGTCAGATTAAGTTTCATCTAATTGCATAGAACAGAATGTACATGCAACTATAATTGGTTTTTATCTGTAATGTAACAAACACTTAATACATAAATATAATACTGTATTTTAAATTTCTTTCCTTTATCAATTTAAAATTTCACATTTGGTCTCAAAAAAGCCACTAAAAATATTTCTTAAACTATTCCTGAGCATTGTTTTTTATGTACTGTAAAATACTCTAGTTTACTACATTTATTACTGTATTTTAAACTACATTAAATCCATGCTTTGAAGTTTTATAAAGCTGAAGATCAGGTAGGCACATTAAAGAACAAAAACAGCTAAGCATCTTACAACCAAGACTAGATCAACAATAAAAGTGCAATTTAACTATACACATAATTTAATATTTTTACTTTACAACACAGTGGGAAGAATCTACTTGAACAGCCTGGTCTGTCGGATCTCAGCCCACTTCTCATAAATAGTCACTGGCTAGGAATTAAGTTAATGCTGCTCAAAAAATATTTCATTTAAATATTGAAAGTACAAAACATTCTCTAGCATTTCTTCTTTATTTTAATACAATCATAGCCCTAGCTGCTGTACTTGAATAGAAATTGTAGCAGACAAACTGCCACAAATTCACAGTACTCACTGGACTATCTTACATGTTCTTTCGCATCTCACAGGTGGAAGAACAGTGGGTCCAAGAACGGGACATATTGCACATATTGCCCAGGTGATGAGCTGCCAGGTCCCTTGTGTTACATTCACATCCCTCTTTTCCTAAGCAAAGAAAGAATCTATCTAAAATGGGAACCTTAGAATCTGAATTAGCGTAAATGTTGTGCACACCTTGTCTTGGGGATTAGTCCAACTATGCTACTATTTGCTATTCAGTTTGCTTCCCAAATGTAAAGAAAATGTTAATATTCCTTGATTCTCTTGATGTACCTTTTAAGAGACTGACTGGATTTTGACAAGATCAAGATGCTATTTCACAGCAAGTGCATACACATGCAGTAAAGAAAGCATATATCAAATACTAGCAGAATTGGGTGCAGAGTGGTCAAAGAAAATAAAGTGCAGCTTCAGCTTGGATTGCCGTTACTACAAGCTGACAATATAAAAGATCTTGCAAGACTTGCATCACAACAACCAAGAATTTGATTATTTGGTCTAAACAACAATAAGCATCAAGATTTACAAAATGAAGGAAACTGTAAACACAGTGAACGTTTCTAGATATAAAAATATGCATTCCATGTTCTTAATCTTTCACTATGTATTCCCTAGTAATTTTCTTTAATAGAAACCTTTGTGCATTAAAACATTTCAAAACATTCTCTCCATTCTATTTTCTATCTAAAAAAATCCAATTCATTATCTTCTATCAAGAAATAGATTAACTTTGCATAGATAAGCCTGTGTTGTTCCATTATTTTATAAAAATAATTCAACCTTTTTCCATCAGAGAAAACAGAATACTATCAAATCCATCCTACAAAATAATATATCTGTGCAAAACAAAGAGCACAGATCTTGTTCTCCTCTCAAATACACCATGATAAGCAGAAGAAACACCAGAAACTCTATAGAGTTACAGGGGTGCTAATAAGAAGTCTTATAATTAAATATTTCTATAAACTTGATTATTTAGCCTGTGCTATATTCATTTAGCAATGCTAAATATTTTTGAGGAAAGACCAATGGAAGACATTTGCCTTCAAGGAGAAGATTCCTGATGGCCTTGCTGGTTTATGATCACATTTATTAAATAGTGCTGATTTAGAACAATGCATCAAAAACATATTTTCCTCAAGATTTTCTTATGAAGAAAACATGACCCTTCTACACGGCCAAATGCTTTCTAGCAGCCAAGCATTGACACTTACTCATGTTTTTTCATTTAAATTTACGTGAGGTTTGCTTCGTGCCATTTGTTTTCATTTTCCTGTCCCCTGTTGTTTTTTTGGAAGGAACACAATTATTAGCATTGCCGTTTTTCTTTGGATTTGTACATGCATACGTTTTTAAGCCTTTAATGGGAGCAGCGGAAGCATGGAATGCAGGGGACTGCTTAGGGGGTCTGACGTTCCCAATGCCTTGCATTTTAGAGCTGTTCTCAGAGGGCTGCAGATTGAGAAGCTGCTGCTTTACAGTTGGTCTCTTTCTCAACTCACTCCTTCCTTCCCCAGATTGTCTCTCAGATGACAGTGTATACCCCATTCTTTCAGAAACTCTCAAGTGACCTGGATGTGCACGTAACTGGCGATTTTCTTCATAGAATGAGTCTCTCCTGTGACCTGAATAGCTTGTGGGCAGCTTCAGAATGCTCTCTTGGGGAGCGGTTTGCTTGTTGGGCAAAGGGCTGTGCAGTGCTTTGCCTTTGCCAGAGCTTTTTAGGGGACGTATGGAGCTGGGAGCAGTTTGAGGTCTGACTTTTGCTGCCTTTCCTTTCTCATTCTGTACAGTCTGCATTTGCAGCCATTCCAGCTGCAAAAGGCGATCAATGTATTTCTCAAGAAATCCTGCCGGCTTCGGTCGAAATTCAGATTTACCCTCTACATGAACAAAGATGGACAGCTGCTTCAAATCCCAAGAGTTGAAAGGTGGTGGGAGGAAATCTGAGTAATAATAATCTGATTCTTTAAACCCTGTATCAAGGACGTGCTCCAAACAAACCGGATCAATTTCTTCAGCTCTGAGAATGAGTTCTGGTGGTGTGCAGGGAGACGGGGGAATGGGAATCCTTTCTGAATCAGAAAGGTCACTGGCACTATCATCTTCAGCATCCTCTTTAATAATTTGTACTGATTCAAAATCAAGAAGCATCTCATCTACAGATGCTTCTTGCCATTTAGAGGAGCACGGAGTAGCTTCAGCAACATGTTCCTTACGAGAACTTTCTGACTGCTTTTTTTTACTGCAGTAAAAACGTTGCGTCGGGACCTCTTTTGCCTTGCTAAAGCTACCTTGTGAGCTGCCCTTAATACTGGGGGAGATCCTGTGCAGTACAGCTTCACTTTGCTTTCTTTCTGGGACACTCCTCTTTGATCCTTTCACTCTGTGCAACGATGTGCAAGCACTCGACATTCTAAACAGAAAGAAAGACAAGTAAAACAGAAGTAAAATGATTATTGTCTTTGAAACAAATTACAAAGGAACTGCTAGCACCTTCAAGAACTGTGAGTGTCTGCATTTGAACAGAAAAGGACTAGCAGACACCCAATTAGGTAGAATTTTATATAACGATAGGCACAAAAAGAGGTCATGACAATGACAGAGATACCAGTGTGGGGAATATCAAGAGCGAGCAGTAAAAACAGGGTTAGTACGCCACCAAACTTAACTTCCTATCCAAAATAGCTTCAATTTTTTCTAGAGGACACCAATTTAAATAAATCTTTCTCACCTTCTTCCTAAAGAAGTAGCAGGGCTCCAAAAACAAAGTTCTACAATTAAATTTAGGCTCACAATATTTGCTTGTAGCCACTCCATTCTTTTGCAAGGAATCTATGTATCCAGTAATATTATTTTTATTTATTTCTTCAAATCAAGCCTTCAAATCCCCTTTATTTTTTTTATCCACTATTAAAACTCTGCACAACATAGTCTTTTTTTTTTTTTTGTATTATGATTCCCCTCCCAGGTCAGTTTTCTTATCTCACACATGGGTTATGTTTTCTGTGCAACAGCCTTTCAATTTCAAGTGGCAGTTTGTCTGCTACAATTTCTATTCAAATCTAGCGGCTTTCAGACACAATCAGAATAAAATAAGACAAAAGTTATCAGTAAAAGAATTATTCATGATAGAATCTCTGAGAATTAAGAATCAACACAACAGTTCTTAGATCCAACACTGTCTTCCTTCAAATGAATTGTTTAAATGTGCTTTCTCCATGAAAACTGTTGTGTTTTATTCTGATTGTATCTGAAAGCTCATTGATGCCGGATAATAATATTGATAACTTAAAAGTTTTTCCTCATAAATACTGAAATGTGGGGCCTGTGAATTCAAAGGCAAAATTCTCCCAGAAACCAATGAAGCCATGATTTCATCATAACTATTTTATAGGCCAATGTGAAATGTCTGCCAATTAAGCAAAGAATCTTAACATAAAATACCTGCTTGGTTGAATGTTGTCATCCAGATGGTTTCTTTCCTTGTAAAAAACAGTTGGTCGGTTATCATCTTGAGTGTCATGGGAAATCTGAAAAGATAGGAGAATATGTGACACTGTTACTGCGATCGAGAAAGCTGGTGTAAACTATGGACCCTTTTTCTGTAAAAGAAAAATGAACTGGAATGATTTACCTTTTCAGTGGCATTTGATATACTTCTGTCTAATCTTCCAGAAGATCTCACATGAGATATTTGTTTCTTTAGTCCCGTGGTACTCAGATGGCTGTTTCCACCACTGTAACTAGCAAAGATTTAACAGATTATCACACACTAATAGTAACGATAGGACAAAAATACAGTAAGAGCCCACAGCACAAGTCAGTTTTTAGGAGAGTTGGCTGCAACTAAGAGAGACTGAAAGTTCAGCAGAACTACTCTGTGGTCACTTTTTATTTTCACACTACACAAAACTGCATAATTACAATAGATAACAAGAGAACTTCGTCCTTATATAGACTATTCTGTCAGAGGAAACCAAAGTTTTGGGGGGATAATAAACAGTAAATATTACAGACTATATATTTAACTTTTAATTTAACTATTAATTTATGTAGTACCTGGTATTCTTGGGCCTATTTCAATTTAGCAAAAGTAATTTTAAGGTAAGATATGAGGACCACTTCAAGCCAAATCCTGCCTGGCTATCTCATTCACATAGTCTCCATAAAATTTAAAGGAATATTTTAATGAAGATAATGAACAAAGTGAGCAGAGAGCATATGGTCTATTATAATATTATAGGAACTATTTCACAATGAAGGCACAAACAATAGTATTGTTTGTTTTGGGATTGGTCAAAATATTGGTAGGAAAAACTTCAAATGCAACTGAAAGCAATGACATTACTGATTTGGAGCTTAAAAATAAGTTACACAGTATTTTCTTTCCTCAAACAAATCAGATCCTTTTCTCTGTAAGCAACAACAACAACACAAACCCACACAGAATCACTAAAACAATGTATTCTGTATGAATCAAAGCAATAGTGTTCGTTCCACAGCAAGAAATATTACTACT